GGACTAAATAAATATATATATATATATAATATATATATATATTATATTAATATTAATTAATTTCTATTGAACGCGGTGCATGAAACAGAAAAATATTCCATTTTGCTTAGAATATTAGTGTTTCCATCCATTTTGTTTGTCATTTCGTATTGTAACAAGTAAAAACAACTACTTTTGCAATATGTGCAATATATGAATGATTTAAAAACAAGTCGGTAATTTTAGGATTTAATTTGGCGTGACATCTACTTTGCTATGAAAGATGAAAGTGAATTTTCTATAAAGGAGAAAAAATGTGATATTTTTTAAATAAATCTGAGCCATCATTCATACAGTTTGTATAAAAATAACTCTTCGTCACTACTGTGTTAGCATGAGTGGGATGTATCCTCTTGTTAGTGACGAGTTTTTTGTTTGTTTATTTCTATTATGTTGAATGGATTCTGTCATATCTGTTATAAAGTTTTCCTATGTTTTGTGAACGTATTTGAAACATTATAACAAAGGTTGTTCGAGATCTATGATAACAGTTTGCATTGCCACCTGCTGCTAATTATCCCTTTAGCATAGGACTTCAAACATTAAAAGATCTCTAACCACTGGTTGTAACTTAGCTGGAGTGTACTTATAAACTTGCAAGTGCAGATGGCATCAGAAATTGAGGGTTACGTTACAGAACTTTCGATCACAAAGTTATCTTTGAAAATATAAGGGAGATAATTGTAGTGCTAAATTATATCGGTAAAGCGTGGGAAGATGTGTTTCTTTTAAGGAAAAAAAGGCCTAACTTTCATGTGGTGACTGTATGGGGATAGTAGTTAAACTTGTAACAGGAAGTAACCGCATAGTAACAAATTGTAGCTAAAGTAAGAACCTCTTTTAAAATAGTAATTAAGATAATTCATAGGAAGAGAGAGAGCAGTTGTACGAGAGCTTGTGTGTCATCAAATTGAACGAAGTATATTTAAAGTTTGATGTATACAGAAAGTTTGGTCAGTTGTCATGCCAATGGTTCAATACTTCAGAAACGGAACAGAACATGCTTGCGAAAGTTTTTCTGACGGATTTATAATGGCTGCAGATTATAGCTCTGATTATAAGTTTAAACCTCCAGGGAGAGTTGCAAAGAAAAAGAGAAAACGATTTGAGCTATAAATGCCATTAGGCTAATGTGATAGATCCATGTACTGTGAATTCTTCCAGTTTTATGGATTGGATGCCAGCAAGATACAGCTCCATCTGGACAATGCATCCATCCAATTATCGAGATTAACATCCTCGTAAGATGCAACAAATACTAACGAGAATTATTTCCGTACCATTCTCAAACTTCTTACATAATGGGATTTGGAAAGCATGTAAAGGAGGGGGGGGGGGGTAGGAACATCTGAATGTGTTGTGCAAAATCCGCCTGCAGTAAAAAGTACGTCGTAGTCAGCAATAAGGAACATAGCCAGTGTTCCCTCTAATCAAGTGTCGCACACTTCATTATTTCAGCCGCGCACATCCTCAGTAATGGTGAGGAGTCTCAACACGTTGAAGGCTTTAATGACCCTGGCAGTCGATAGGCCTAAAGCACAAATAGCCAACTGGTAGCATTGCGAAGCGGCCTAATAATCCAATAGGGTCGGTGGTCTGAAAATCCCTCCCTCCCCTTAAAAAAAAAAAACACTGGTAGCGCACATTTGCACATTGCCTTGATACTAGTGCACATGACAAAATTCATTCCGCACATGGATTGAAAAAAATTAGAGAGAAATTTGGCATGACACATAACATCAAGGTAGTGGAAGAAGGAGGATGTAAGGCTTAGGCACTTGTATTGTTATCACAGGTAAATAACACCTCTGTGGGTAAATGTGCATCAACATCATATTAAACAACAGTTGAGAAATTTTACAAAAATACCTGTTTTGGCAGTGAAGTGGGTTGGTTTTAATTGTGTCTGTTCATTATTTTGATACTCGTGATATCAATTCAGTAATCTAAACGAATGAACAAGAAAATACATTTTGTTTACATTTCAGTTATTTGTCTTTTTATAGTTTTGTCTCTCCTACTTCTCGTTAAGGCATCATTTGACCAGTCTTGTGATATTTGATATAACACTTAAGGCATCATTTGACCAGTCTTGTGATATTTGATATAACACTTCTCGGTTGTGTTACAGGAAGGTAATTATAAACAGTGGTTTTGTGCTGAATGTTATAATGTTGGATCCCTGCCAAAATTTATCAGACGCGTGACTTAACCATCAGGGTAAAAATTTCACATTCAAAACCTAATTTTCATTTTTGCGAGTCTGTTTTAAACAAAGAAAATATACGGAGTAGGCTACTAATAACACAGGCTTGCGAATTTAAACTTCATGAAAGTTGTTTTAGTTTTAATAACGAATTTTCCATAATTCAGCTACGGAGATTTCGAAAATAATATTAATTTTTTTCTGTTACCTTAAGATTTTTTTTACAAATCGAGAAGAAGAAAACTTACTTAGATCAAATTTACCACAAATATAACATATGTTTGGGTCATTTACACAACCTCTTGTTGCCATAGCGATGAATAAATAATATTGGTGTGATTCTCGTTGGTTGTAGAACGATCGATAAGACTCCCGTCGCGATTGGTCTAGAGAAATCTATAGCCAATGGTTGTCAAGATTTTAAGCATAACAAAATGTGACCCAATATCAATGAAAATGATTCAGTTATGTAAAAGTACATATGACGTTTTGTGAAAAATGTGTACGTGATGGAGAAAAATGGATATCATTTTCGGATTCAGCGTACAGGAATACTGTAGAACATGCACAAATTTTAAGACAATAAAACCATAGCAAGCCTGTGTTATTTGAGACTACTTATATTACAACTAAACTTAATACTGTTATATTACACGTAACTGAACTTCCTCTGATTTAAGTAACAAGATAAAACAAAGAAAACAAACTGGATTTCCTAGAAAAACCACGAACATTAAAACAAGTTTTTAAAGCGCATATCTTATTACTTTACTATATTTCTAACTGCTACATTGACAGCTTTGACTTTTATAATACTTCAAACATTGTGCTGCCAACTCGAATAACTTTTTTTAAACAAGGCAACATTCGTTGTATACTATGTAAATAAGAAGCTATTTAAAATGTGGACGTTTTAAACACACCATATAATTTATTTGTGTATAGAAGCACGTAATGTAAAATGTAATTTATTAACGGTTTAATATCATATTTGTGTGTTTCAATAATCATGTGGGGTATGACTAAAACATTTCACCATTTCAACACTGACACCTGCTCTTGAGACGGAGCGGTCACACGGTACGTCCGAGAGAGACTGACATATTGAAGTTTGGTTGGTCTGAGAGAGCTCTCCCAGTGAACAGGGATGTCACAAACAGACAGAATATTCTGTAACGTTTATAAACTGAATAACGTAATTTATTACACATTTTTAGTTTTTGAAGTCCTAATTTCACGTTGCTCCAGCGGTACTACACCCCTAATTATAAGTTACTATAAAAACTCAAAACTATCACTTTACAATTTAATCAAGTTGATCCAATGTGTTATTTTTATTTATTTTATTTATTTATTTTTTGTTTATTAGGAAAATGATACATTTATCAGGTGATGATGTTCTTAATCCCGTTTTTGTTTTTTTTAATAGTACAATTTACCTCGTAATTTGAAAGAGATCTGACATGCCGATTGTTGGTTAGACTTTGTACTTATATTTAGTCATATTTCATATAAAAATAAATTTTCAAACATATTAATAACAAAATACATCAATGACGGCATAAATAGTTCCTTCTATACAGTAAAATAATATTAAAATAAAAGATGTACAAGTTATTAACTCCGTTAATAAAATCGATGGTATATTAACGAACTGTTTCTTAACAACAGAAAACTGTAAATATTGCAGGGCGGACGGTGTGTGTGTGGAGTGAAAATGGATAATGTTTGATAGGAAGTGTTCGATAAACGATGAATACAACCTATATCTTCTGTATTCTATTTAATACAGAGGCGGTACTTACAAGGTCAATATCATTAGGGCGTGACTACTTAAGCCCTGGGTGAGAAGTTTAATTCAGACGTTTATCGTACTGCCTTTCACCCCCAGGGCTGGATAGGTTTTGCTGTGGCTGTCGATTTCCGAAAGTAACCGCATACAAATGGGTTAGACTTTTAAACTAATAACAGAACGAAATTAGGACATTGGTTCACACTGGGAGGGAGGGGGTAATATCCTCCTTAATATATTTAATGTTATTGTACTCATTGCGTCTTTAGGGCTTAATTTTTCCTTTCTAATTTTTGGGGATTTTTATAGCTTTCGGGTTTTTGTCCTCTTTTCAATACTTGTTGTTGTTTTTTTAACTTTATTCTGTTATTTGTTACTACTTTCTAGTTCGTGATTATTAAATTTATTTTGGTCCAATTATTCTGAGATTTAAATAACAGTTAAAAACAATCGTAAATCAATCACAAATAATTTATTTAATCACCCGGCAGGCGCTTTTCTCGCTGGTCAACGACAGGAACCCACGCTTTTCCTCATATCGCTAATATAGGTCACGTAAAAAGTGGAACATGTCGATGCCTGCAGGGTCAGGTCTGAATATTGCCAAAAAATTAGGGAAATAGGTGCTCAAAGGTATAATTATGTTACTAGTTATGATATCAATACATGTATCCTCACCAGCCTTATTAGCTATAAAACTAGTAGATTATATTATGCTTTGGACTAATGTCCCCGACTTTAATATATTTTTATATCTCTTTGTAAACAACAACATTTGTTTCTGAAGAAGAGTATGTGCCATTACGTAGTGTTTATTTACGTTAATGTTATTATGGGATGAACAGGTTAGTTACCATCATTATTGGTACGTTCCACATAGTGACGAGTTTTTGCTGGTACACATTGAAGACTTTGAACAGAATTATTTAGATGTGTATTTACATAATGAAATCCTGAAGTGTTATTCCAGGTTACTGATCCATAAATTGTGATACAAATGTATAAAACAATGATTTTATAGCATTGTTAGGTTTTGTAAACTGATGTATGTTATTTCTTAACGTATTTACAAACACTAATAGATACAAGTTTGACTATGTCATTCATGTGTCTCAATGAACTTGTAGAGGGAAAAAAAAAACCCTATTAGAACCTCATTTTAATGTGGAAAATATGTTTTGTGTTAGACAGTTTAGATTGAAATTAATGTTGAGTTTGATCTGTAGGGAAATAAAAGTGTTATTGATGTTTGCTGTTTATTTACATTTCAATATATTATAGTGTCTACATTTGATGTATTTTTCCCACTTAACAAAATAGTTAATATTGACATAGTTAGTTTGGCTTACTTACAAATATATATAACTGATAATAAAGGTGTCATTAGCTTCATTTTAAATACAAATCCTATTTGAATTAAGTCAATGCTAATTAAACACAATCGTAAATTTTTTATGAAATATCTGCTTGGCAATCTTTGGTGAGGGACAAAAAGTGCTTGAAAATGTTTTCCCTAACCAAAGATCTCCAGAGGATTGTATATAAAAGTTTTCATCTATTACATCTGCTACGTTGTAACTATCTAATTGTTTTCTGTTGTTTCTGTTAATTAAAATATCATTATGTTTTCAATATCTACACTCCAGTAGTGAATAACAAAAGTTATTCATGTATTTCCATAATCAGGAGAAATTGGACATGAGTCACCAGGAGGGTTTTAGACAGATTAATAACCTCCAACAAGAAGTGTCCACTCTCAAAGCTGAAAAGGAAGATCTCATAAAATATGTCCGGAAGCTTGAACAGGCTAATGACGATCTTGAACGAGGAAAGAGGTAGGTAGAATTACTTTGATAGTAAAGGAAATAGTTTATTAGTTAGCATGCCAGTAAACGGGCCTTAACCGTAAGTTTTGAAGGAAACGGCAGCTAGTTTTTGTTGTTTTTTTTTCTATTAGATTTGGAATTGCTATTAGCAGCAACATTATTTTTTCTAAAACTTAACTTCAACTAGGACATAATTATTTCATTTATTAAATGTTAATATGTATATTTCCTATTAAAGTATTTCATTATTAAAAGCTACAGCTTAAATACCAAAAGCTGGTAAAGCACAAGAATCCAACACGTCTAAGGTTTATGTTAGTTATAAACAAATTAAGAGGAATGTGTAAAACAAAACTGGGAGTTTACGTGATTTCCATTTTATCATTACCTTCTGTGAGCATCCACCTTGGTCACAGTATTTCTAACCATGCTGCTGGCAAAACTACATTGCAGAGGCCAGATGATGCGAGACTAACCAGCTTGCTAATCAATTAGCAACGAGTAAAATGAGTTGAAGCTTGATCTCACCATGTCCATTTCATGATATTTAGCTTGAGTATGACACGTAGCTCAAGTGAGAGTTCGCAAAACTTGCATGTTACTGGCATGTGAAACAAACTTGTTTGAATAACTGAGAAAAGTACAACATGAAAGAAAATACAACAACGAAGCACAACCTAACAAAATAGTACTTGATGTTGACATAAAATTGTCAAAGATGGTACATTTGTAATAAAGTTTCTTCCATTAACCATTTAAGCCATCTTCAAACTTTATTTTCTAAAAAGTGGGTTCCTTATCATCATATTTATATATATATTAATGTATTTCATGGGAGAGATTTGTATTAAAAAAAATTCAATGCAGATTTTGACTGCGTGTATTTTAATTTTAAGAAACTAAAAAAAATTTATATGTTCCTTTATCATTATTTTTCAAATTTTAAATATCTTCATTTTCAGAGCAACTGTCTCATCTTTAGAAGATTTTGAAACCAAGCTTAACTTTGTAAGTAAATTTGTTATCCAAATTTCACCAACATTTTGCAATATATAGTTCCTGTGGGATTAATTGTACAATTACTGTGATAAAACAGAAGTTATTTAAGAAATTTTTTATTTCAACTGTTCTAACCACCTGGCTGACTACAGTTCAGCAAGAATTTTTTTATATTTTATATATGTATATTCTCCCTTTTTTTTTCCACAAAGTTTTGTATCCATTAAACAGTTTTTTCAGTCCCGTAACCAGACTCTATAATAATGGATTTAACAGATGTTGCACAATTTACTTAATCACTTCATGACTTATCTTGCATTCCAGAAGGTGGAATATTATTTGATATTGCTTTGATAAAAAGCTGTTATTTGTGTTAGAAGTTGTAAAAGAAATTCTTCTTTGCTTCTGCTGGGCCTCAGTATTTTGTTAACCACCATATCCCGTAGAACACTAGAAATTGCTAGCAATCCTTCATTAACTTATAAAACAAACCAACACTGTTTAGTGAAAGCTAATTTTCAGTATTAGTAGAATATTATACACACAAAAAATGATACAACTGTATTAAAATCATTTAAACGTAGTATGGATTATTATATAAAACAGAAAAGTTGGTGCTGTTCTATTTCCTTACACTTGAGTTTCCATGTGTTTTCTTGCAATAAAGATTTAGTTGTAGATTTAAAAAGTCATCTTGAATTTATCATAACTAAGACTCTAAGACTAAGTAGGCTAGTTACTGTATGTGATGTCACTAACTGCCAGTAATCATCATCATGAGTAGGCTAGTTACTGTATGTGATGTCATTAACTGCCAATAATCATCATGAATAGGCTAGTTACTGTGTTGGATATCACTAACTGCTAATAATCATCATCATGAATAGGCTAGTTACTGTGTTGGACATCACTAACTGCCAATAATCATCATCATGAGTAGGCTAGTTACTGTGTTGGACATCACTAACTGCCAGTAATCATCACCATGAGTAGGCTAGTTACTGTGTGGGATGTCCTCTGATTAAGACAAGTTGATTGAGTAAAATGGATACAGGTGAAAACTGTAGGATAATAAAGTAACCTTATATAAGTCAGGCTTTCTTCTTAATATAATTATCCCTTAAGAGTCTTTTACACTTGGATAATAAAGTATAGGGTTTAACAAATTTTATAGTTCTTCCTGAGAGTTGAAATTATTTAGAATAATGTCTTTAATTTTGAGATGTAAATAAAACTGTTAATTCTTGTTTCATACTAGGCTATTGAGAGAAATGCTTTCCTAGAAAGTGAGCTAGATGATAAGGAAACTTTGGCAGCCATGGTTCAACGTCTGAAGGATGAAGCACGAGGTTTGTATAAATTGTGATTTGAACTCTAGGTTTTTTGTCTGTGTCTAGCTTGATTCAGTTTTCTTATGGTTACAAGTACTTAACATTTTTACATGTTATTCTCTAGTTCTTTACATTAAATTTTTTTGAATAATCCTAGGAGGTTGTGTGTTTTGTTTTTTAAGCATAAAATTCTTATTGCAAAACATGATAATAACGAATTGTGTTATTCAAATTTAAATAATGTTCTTTCTAACTACCTCTTAATAGTGATTCAAAAAGAAACTCCCCATTTGTTAATTTTCTTAAGTATACACTAGACACCAAGAAACAATAGTGAAAATATACACTGATAACAGCTGGAACCAGTGAAATAAGAGAAACTTAAGGTAAATATTCATAAGTTTATATTAACTGAATTAAATGTTCGTAAACTGGTAAGGTGTTAAGAAATTTCATGCTCTATAAAGATAACATTTATTTTGGATGTTTAAGATTCCACGTTAGGTTTAGAAAACCAATGCAAAGGAAAAAATATTCAAAAAGTCTTTGTTTAGTTATAGAGATAAGACAGTCATTAATTTGCCCTGGCATTTATTGTACTAGGAAATGTGGATTACGTTGGGGGTCATGCCTCGATGTGTTATGACAGTGTTTGTAGAACTTACTTTCTTTGTGCAGTCTTTTGATCTTTAATACAAATAATCTATATCTATACGTGTTGTTTGAAAGTTCGCATGTAATCATTTGAAGGGATATATTTTGTATTCATCATAAAACATCTGTGTTCATGCGTATAAACGTTATATTTTATTTACAATGAACTATGATAGTTATTTCTTAATTTGAGATCTGTTGTGAAAATTTGCATGGTCTATCTTTCTTTTTATAATTGTGTGTTAAAAGAAGAGGATAAAATGATACGTTAATAAATATCTCTTCCAGATCTTCGACAAGAACTACTGATTCACCAGAGTTTGAATAAACAGATTAATAATGACACTATCTGCTTTGATAATGACAGAAAGGTAAAGAAAACCATCATAGAGGTTGATTCCAATAAACTGACAACAGAAAATGAAACACAGACAACATCACCAAATAAAGGTAAGACCTTTTTCTCAGTGAAACTTATTTAAAGTTCATTTCTTGTTACATAATTATCTTCAAGTGTCAGATTAATTGCTGTGCTATACAAACCACGAACATATTAATGCATAACCAAGACAGTTTTTAAAGTACTTTTTCCAAAAATATATTACTTGACTGAAAAATATCAAGTCTTTATATATATATAAAGACTTGATGGCTTTCCTTTGCAGCTGTTGAGAGCAAGTCGTAACCTAGCACCTGAAAGCTCTGAATATGTTGAATAAATGTGAATTACTTAGCGTTCTATTCAAGTTTATAATTATATGTAAAATAGAAAAGTTTTCTTCTTTTCAGTAACTAAAGCTTAAGTTATCGGTTTCTTTTCATTAAACATTTAAAAAAAGTTTAATATTATATCAAACTTGTTGAGAGATTTTAATGAATTTCTAACACTTCCATGTCAATCTTGGTTTTGCATATTTTATTCAAGAAGTTGTTAGTTGGCCACCTCAGCCAACTAATGAAGAATCTAGAGAAACATGCTGATTGACCCTTATCTTCTCATACAATGTATTTTTCTCTAATTCATGGTGCATGTAGAATTGATAGCACTTTGCTGATTGACTACCAAGGTTTCTGACATTTGTATTTATGTATATATTTCTTTATAGTGGATAAACGAATTATTTTAAAACCTGAACTTCCTTCATCTAGACCCTCTTTTTCTAAAAATGAAATATTTTGATTCAAATGTTAAATTGTTATCTTTGTTGTTGTAATACAGTTAGTAGATCTATTCTTGTGAGTCATGTTTTCTTACATTTTTGGAGGGAAAAAAAAACTTTGACCTAGTAATATGTCAGAGTAAATTATCATTCTGTTAGAATGTTAGTACATAATACTTTTTGTGGGTGTCAAAATGTAATTAAATGCCACACCTACATTAGGTGTGCAAATGTACACATCTTAGAGATTTATTGCTTGTATTGATTTCTCTGAAGACTACCAATTGATAAAAATAGTTTTCAAAAATAACATTGATTTAGTAAATGTTTTTACTTTTACTGTATAAAATGCAACTATTCTATTAATATATTGACAAATCTGTCCATGAATTTAAGAAATAATCATGTTTTTGAACATATAGAAAGGTTTGAGAGTAAAAAACAAAAAAATGAAATTTTTGGCACAATAAAAGTTAAATATTATAGGTTACAGCCAACTAGTTTTGGCAGCAGAGTTACCATCATCAGGGCTAGTATCTACTGTGATGATGGTAACATTATTACCAAAACTATTCTGCTGTAACTTGTAATAAAGGTCTTACCTTTCATTGTGCGAAAAAACCTCAGTTTTTTGTGTTTATTACTGTTCATGTAATAGCACAATGTGCCTGATCAGATTTTATGTAGAAAGCCTGTTTGTTTTTAATAATAGTTTGTATATATTTTATGAAAAGTCACAACTATCAGGAGTGTGAAATACATTTAGTTTTATTGTTCTTGTTGATTATTTTAACCTCAGAATTACAGGTCAGGTCCATATACATTTTCCTAAGTTAGTTATGAACCAAATTGCCTGTGAACTCATTATTTTGTTTATTAGAGAGTACCTATTAGTTTCCCTAATTATTGCTGCAGTCTACTTTGTATGTTACACTTTTTTTGTGTGTTTAGTTCCATACACCAAGTGTTGTAACAGGCAAAAACAAAACTACTCAATATGATTCACTATAATATACCCCACACCAATAGTAAGTGTTATAAAAATACTGTTGTAGTCTCTGAGTTAAGGATTAGTTAATTGTAGTTATCAAAAATATCACAAGTTCCTCTGGAAATTTTTTACTTTGAAAATGCAAAGTCAACTATTCTGTTAATTCATTGTCCAAATATGTTACAAGTACTAAAATAATAATACAAATAATGTTCCTCGGGCATATATATTCCCCTCTCCCTCCCCCCATGGCTTAACGGTAAGTTTGAATGCTTATAACAGTAATAACCGGATTTTGATACCCATGTGAACACAGCATGGATAAAGTAAGGCTATAGTTTTTATGGAACATTCACACATGTATAGTTTTGTACTTCAGCTGTTGAAATAACTATTCTCCCCTCCTCCCTTGCAGTTTTGCAGTCTGCTGGTCATACTCCACTGACTCCTTCAGCTAGAATATCTGCTCTCAACATTGTTGGAGATTTGCTGAGAAAAGTTGGGGTAAGCTCTCCTCTTTGTTTTTATGTATAGATACATGCGCATGACCTGGTAATGTGCAAGATTATTATTTTCACCTGTCAAATAAGATGTTTTTTTTTCTTTATTGAAAATTCTCTTTCTGAACTCGTGTGAAGGTTTTTTTCAAAGAAATATTTGAAAAGGGCAGAGTGAGAAACACCTTAATCTTTGCCTAAAGATAATTGTACTGTTTGTAATGATATAATCAGAAAGAATTCCATAAAGTGTTGGTTTTTGATAATTCTGGGAATTCTTTAAAAATTTTTTCTTTTATTTATTATATGTTTTTTTTTTAGTTTAATAAGTAGGACGAA